GCAGGTGAGGGCAGTGTGTCTCAGGAGTCGGGTGCAGTGGGGGTGGAAGCACCTGGCCTGGCCGGGGTCTGAGCATGCGCCCCACTTGTAGAGGATGAGGAGCCGGACAGCACGGAGCGGGCCTGTGACACCCTGCTCATGTGCATCGTCACCGTCATGAACCACGGGCTGCGCAACGGCGGTGGCGTGGGGGACATCCTGCGCAAGCCCTCAAAAGACGTGAGTGCCCCGGCCCCGCCCCTGGCCAAGGGGGCCGGCCCACCCTCAGGTCGCAGCTAGCAGGGCAGCCCGGTCCACCCCCTTCACGTCCCCACCCCACTGTGTGCCCCCTGCTCCTGGGCAGTTACAGGGTAGCTGTGCTCACGGTGGATGCTCTGAGGGAAGACCTTGGCACCAGCTTTTTCAGGCTGGGAAAGCCGTGAGTCAGACAGCGGGCGTGTCCCGGGCCGCAGGGCTCCGTCTGGGGGGCTGGGCCCCAGCCTACAGCCAGGGCGGCTGGACGGGGAAGAGGCCTCGGGGTTTGGCCCAGTGTGTGCAGGCAGCCAGGATGATAGTCTGTCCCCAGTGGCACAAGGGCGAGAAGCTGCTCCTTAGCCAGGGGTGCCCTAGAATGAGTGAGATCACGTGTCCCGAGGGCAGCAGAGTTCAGAGCCACCCGTCCCCTCCCCAGCGGTCAGGGGTGGGCACAGCCGAGGCCTGGCCCCTCACGCCAGACTCCTCCCTGAGGGCCTCTTTCTGGCCGCTGAGTCCCTGTCCACACACGTGGCCTCTGGCGGCGATTCCGGCTCTGTGCAGTGAGGCGGGTCCTCTCCATCTTCGGGGCCTTTGCGCTCTTCTGGGAGCTGCCGGGCCCAGCCTCCCTGCCTCCCTCCCGTAGGAGTCTCTCTTCCCCGCCCGAGTGGTCTACGACCTCCTGTTCTTCTTCATCGTCATCATCATAGTGCTGAACCTCATCTTTGGGGTGATCATCGACACCTTTGCTGACTTGCGCAGCGAGAAGCAGAAGAAGGAAGAGATTCTCAAGACCACGTGCTTCATCTGCGGTGAGGCTGGGCTCCCGCCAGGAGGCCTCAGCCCATCCTTCCTCGGTCCCGTGGCCCCAGGGAGTCCTGCGTCGGGCAGGCGGCTTGGTGACTGTTCGCTTATCCCAGAACTGGGGGGAACAGAGCCTGACCGAGCGTGGAGTCATCGAGGGAGCAGGAAGGGGCCTTGGAAACCCTTTCTTTCAATTCTGGGTCTCAGATGAGGAAACGAGCCTGGTCTCGGTCTGGGGCCTTTCTACCCCCACCAACCCGTATGAAGGGCAGGTCCTCTCCTGGCCCCTGTGGGTGAAGGAGCAGGGTCCTCTGTGGGACCAGGCCCCTCGTCAAGCCCTTCCCATGCCCCCGACCCTGGGGTCCCGGCGTCTGTAGGGTCCCCGCGGCGCTGTGGCAGGGCAGGGGCTGCTGCTTTAAAAGGAAGCGACCTCAGTGGCTCAGAGCAGGCTGTCGCCCGCCCTCATCAGCACGTTCAGCCCGAGAACAGTGCCCCCGCTGCATCAGGAGGCCCTGCCCGCCCACCGGGGCTCTCGGAGGCGGCGAGCCCGCCTTCACTGCCGCCCTCTGCCTCCCCAGGTCTGGAGAGGGACAAGTTTGACAACAAGACCGTGTCGTTTGAGGAGCACATCAAGTTTGAGCACAACATGTGGAACTATCTGTACTTCATCGTGCTGGTCCGAGTGAAGAACAAGACCGACTACACGGGCCCGGAGAGCTACGTGGCCCAGATGATCAAGGTGAGGGGCGGGGTGGGGACGGCTGTGGGCCCTCGTTCAGAGGCAGCAGGGGGCGGGGAGCAGCTGGAGCTGGCTAGTCCGGAGCCCCCCAACCCCTGTGCTGCAGAGGGGGGCCTCTGGAAAAAGCCCCCCGAGGGTGCAGGTGGCGTCTGGGGCCTGTGGACACCCGGTGCCAGGTGACCCTGCTTGTGGCCCTTTCTGAGGGCCCTTTTCTGTCGGGTGCGAGAGGGAGGGCGGCTTCCTGAAGCCTGGGTGGTCGCAGGCCGCGAGGGCGCCTGGATGAGCTTCACATGGTCAGATGCAGGAGGCTCACCGATCACTCCTGTTCAGTGTAGTTGTGAGTGAAGGTCTGGAGGGTGAAGTCCACCGGCCGTCAGGCAGGGCGTCTGCAGATTGCCGCACACAGTGTGCGTGCTCCAGCCGAGTCTGTCTCTGCGACCCCACGGACTGCAGCCCCCCAGGCCCCTCTGTCCGTGGGATTCTCCAGGCAAGAACACTGGAGTGGGTTGCCATGCCCACCTCCAGGGGATCTTCCCGACCCGGGGATCGAACCCACGCCTCTTTAGGTCTCCTATATTGGCAGGTGGGTTCTTTACCCCCGGTGCCACCTGGGGAGCCCACAGAGCTGAGGTTGCAGCCTCTAAAAGGAAAGAAAACAACTCGGGAGGGGCTTCTGTATGTGTTTTGAGCCTGTATTTGGACTGGTCTTGAGTGCCGGTGTGTCTCTTGGCCTGAGAATTCAGCTTGCAACCGGTGCCCCCCCAACTCTGCCTCTTAGTCTTGGGAAGTGCGGCTTCGCCTGAGTTCAGATGCCACTGCCCCCCGCAGAGCCTGCCCCTCAACGTGCCATGTGCCTGACTCGCGCCTTCCTGGGGTGTGGGGCCCGCTGGCGGGGCCGGGTGGGGCGGGGCGGGAGGAAGGAAGGAAGGAGCGATGGGCCTGACCCCCGCCTCGCAGGGCGTGAGGAGTAAACATGATCCCAGCCATACTGCAGGAGGAGACACAGGCTGGCGGAAGTCGGCCTGTCTCAGCACTTGCCCTGCCTGCACAGGGTCACTCTGGCCCCGGGGGCAGGACCCGGGTCAATTCAGGTTTTCCCAAGACACGTCCCTGGGGAGTAATTTGGCCACGGGTGTGGCAGCAGGCTTTCCCCACATGACTGCTTTTCTAGAGGCCTTCTTGGGCTGGGCGTTTACCCCACGGGGATGTTTTTCAGAACAAGAACCTGGACTGGTTCCCCCGGATGCGGGCCATGTCCCTGGTGAGCAGTGAGGGGGAGGGGGAGCAGAACGAGATCCGCATCCTCCAGGACAAGCTCAGCGCCACCATGAAGCTGGTGTCCCACCTCACCGCCCAGCTCAGTGAGCTTAAGGAGCAGGTGCGCCCCACGTCCTGGCCCTGCTGGCAGCCCCCGCTGTGCCTGAGGCCCCAGCCTGCCTGCCTGGGGGCGGGGAGGGGGGCGGGGCCTTTCTGCTTCCTCTGCCCCCTTTCTGCTGCTCCTGCCTCTTGCGTCTGGGGTGGAAGGCCCTGTGGAGAGCGGGACAGAGGGGAGACGAGAGGGAGGCGGCCCCTCCCCCGTGCCCCGAAGGGCAGTCCGGCCGGGCTGAGTGCGACCTCGCACAGTGGGGCCCCCTCGTGCGCCCCCTCGGCTCCAACCTGCAGCGCTAGACTCTGGCCCAGGCACTGACTGGTGATGGGGAAGTCAGGGCCTCCTTCCGCTTCTCAACACCCGCTCCTGCCCAGAGCGTCCTCTGCGCCATCTGGCAGTGACTAAATACGGTCAGGCGGCCCCTCTTTTAGGTAGGCCGCTCTCCCAGCTGCACCCGATCAGTGGTTTGTGACGCGCTAATTGAGGACCAGGGTTTGGGGTTGACGGCCCTGCAGCAAGGGCCGTGGGGAGGGTGGGCTCTGGGCGGCCTGACCTGACCGCTGGCGTCTGTTTAAACCCAGATGACGGAGCAGAGGAAACGCAGGCAGCGCCTGGGCTTCGTGGATGTGCAGAACTGCATGAGCCGCTGAGCTGCCGCAGGAGGCCCGCCGGCCGCATGGACACCGGCCATCCCTTCAGGCTAGGCGCCCACCCAGCTGCCAGAACCCACTTGGCCAGACCCCCCAGGCCAGCCTGGAGGGGAAGCTACAGAGCGGACAGCCCTGCCCAGCGAGAGCCCCTAGAAGACTCAAACTCGCTGGGCCTCGCTCACCTTAGTGCCTTAGAGGAAGTCTGTCCTCGCACAGGACTGTTGCTTGGTCCCTTAAAGCAGTAACTGACATCGCTTCATATTCCTCCTGGTGGGTGATCAGGAGTGGGGTCTCCTCTGTACTCCAGGCACTACGTTTTGGTCACTGCCGCCTCTGGCGGGGCGCAGTGATGCTCTTGCTAGTGACTTTAGGGCTTTGTTATTTAACTTATTCATGGTGCCTGCTCGGCCCTTCCCCGGGCTGCGCCCCTCCCCCGGGCCCCAGACCTGCTGTAGACCGTGTAGACCTCAGTGTCCGAGGCCAGGCCAGCCTTGCTGGCAGCCCTGGGAGTACGGGAGACCGCAGCAAGGAGCCTTGCTCCTCCTGGGGGCAGGCACACGCCCAGGGGACGGGCTGGAGCGTGTCAGGAGGGGCTGGTTTTCACTGCCTTTTTGCTCCTTTTGGTGTAATGTTTTACAAATCCTTTGGCCCGAGAACTAATATGTTAATTGCCTTAAATAAATTAATAAATCTAGTCCATTAGAAAAGGATGCTGGCTCCCGTGCTCCTTGGGGGCTGGGCTGTGGGAACACGGTGCTGGCGGAGGGCAGTCTGAGCCCTGCCTGCTGGCCTGGCCTCACCATGCACTTGGGAGATGCTGAGTGCCGTCCTGTCAGAGATTCCAGGGCAGAATGCACCGCAGTGTAACTGGTTTCTGTCATCATCCTATGTATTTTATTTTATGCAAAACACAGTGAGGAGTCCAGGTACAGAGGAGGTTGAGAACCCACTTCCACTTCCCAACAAGGGGTGCTGTCGGCCCTGCCAACCCCTCCTCTCACCTCTGTTCTTGACAAGAAAGCTCAAGTGGGACCGTGACCGTCCACAGGTGAGCGCTGAGGCCCCGTGGAGTAACGAGGTGACCCTGTGGTGTCCCCGCCGGGGCCTGCCCCCAGCGTTGGGCCGACTCGAGCCAAGGCCCCACCCAGCCCGCCGGCTGCTCTGCCCTGCCCCTCGGGCCGACCTGGGACATGGCTGCTCCACGAGGTCAGGGCAGAGGGCCGAGCAGGCTTTCCGCAGCCCTCTGCCACAGAGCGCCGCCACTGTCTGTTGGCGGCGGGACAGGATGCCTTCTTTGCTGCCTGCTGCTATGTTTGGCTTTCCCCCAGGAGCGCCTACAACAAACGGGAGCCCGAGACTTTGCCAGGAGCCAGGCAGACCCCTGCTGGCAGGTGGGGCCCTGTGGCCGCGCAGGAAGCACCTTGCCCAGAGGCCCTGTCACCTTCCCCTCTCGGGCCCAGACGCAGACCCGCACTTCCTCTCCCAGGGACGCTGAGCCTGGCCGGTGGGCGGGCGGATGCTCAACCTGCATCCCTTCTCAGGCCGCAGCTTTCTTTAGAGAAACAAAGGCTTCCTTTCTGTGAAGGCCAGGCGAGATTCCCGAACCATGAGGATGGGGAAATCAGGGCGTTTTATTGATGATGGCAACACACACGACGCCACGCTTAGGTGCGCGGGCGCGACAGGGCCCGAGCCCAGGCTTTGTGCTTTTCCTCGGGGTTCCCGGGGGCAAACTTCTCCTGCAGCTTCTTCCACATGCCTTTATTCATCTCCTTAAACTCATCCAACGTGTCTGCAAAAGGAGAAGACAACAAAAAAGGATGAATTGTAAAATGATTACACAGGTTGGCCCCAAGGGCTTTCGCCATCAGGCAGCACTCTTCACGGAGAAAAGGACGTGCAGCCCCAGCTTCTGGGAAGCGAGCCGAGCAGGGTAACAGACGAATACCGTGAGTGGGCACGAGCACGGGTGCCAGACCGCGTCCTGACAGCGGCCTCTGCTCACATCGTCCCCACGCAGCAGCCAAGCAGGGCCCACGCTGCCACCCGTGAGCCAGGACACGGCGCTGCCGTGTCGGCTTCGCAACCCACGCGCCCTGAGGCTCGTCACAACACTCGACCGGAGCCACAGGGGCTGCACCGTTGTACAGACGTGGGGACTTGAGGCAGAGTGGGGTAAGGGAGCCTGAGCAGGCTCCACGGCAGGAAGCGGCAGAGCCGGGGTCTGAACCCAGGCACTTACGTCCACCCACACCATGGGAATGAGCGGCCACCCTCGACTCCAGCAGGAAGCTGGGCCCGGGCCCCCGTCCCCACCCACCATTTCCACACTGGGTCCCCTCAAGCAATCAGGTTCCTCATCTCTGAGCCTCAGGTTCCTCATCTGCGAAGTGGAGACAAACACCCGCCTCACAAGCTGTGAGCTGTGTTCTGTAGTAATTTTACTGATTTCTGACTGTGCAGGGTCTTTGTTGCCGTGCGGCCTGCTTTCTAGTTGCAGTGTGCAGACTTCCCACTGCGGGGCTTCTCTTGCAGCGGAGCACTGGCTCCAGGGCTCACGGGCTCTGGAGCACAGGCTCAATAGTTGTGGCTCACGGGCTTAGCTGCTCTGAGGCACGGGGGATTTTCCAAGATCAGGGATTGAACCCGTGTCTCCTGCATTGCTTCTGCATTGACAGGATTCTTTTCCATTGAGCTACCAGTGAAACTGAAAAGTTGCTCAGTCGGGTCCGAATCTTTGTGACCCCATATACAGTCCTTGGAGTTCTCCAGGCCAGAATACTGGAGTGGGTAGCTGTTCCCTTCTCCAGGGGATCTTCCCAACCCCAGGATCAAACCCAGGTCTCCCACATTGCAGGCGGATTCTCTACCAGCTGAGCCACCAGGGAAGCCCCCAACGTTGTGACCTTTAAGGAAAGGATGGAGGTGATGTCCTTGGCACCTGGCCCACATTCCAGAAAAGGGAGCCACCTTCACAGACATGAAGGTGGCAGGAGCCAGTGGGGCCTTCATTTAGAAACATACACCCACCTCCCTCCCCGCCTCAAGCAACCAGGGCAGGGTCTCTCAGTCAGCACCAGCGAGGTTTAGGGCCAGGTAGCCCTTCGTTGCAGGGCAGACCCGGCACTGTGGCCGCATCTCAGCCTTGACCCACCGGATGGCAGTAGCCCCTTCCCGCCAAGCCTAATGACTATCACGGTCTCCAGATGCTGCCAGAGTTTCCCTGCGGGGCAAAACTGAGTCCGAATTGACAACCACTGGTCTAAAGTCTCTCTAGGGCTAAAGTTCTATGATACCTAATTTTACTTATATTTTAAATTTAGATTTTATTTATGAATTAATTTATGAAATTAATTTTTGTAGCCTGGATTTCCATCTCTTAATGAAACTTATGGAGAAAAAGAATAGCTGTTCTGAACAAAAAGCTAACTTACATTATTACAATTATTGTCAGTGGACTCTTGACTAAACGAGGACCAGCTCTGTACCCCAGCCACGAGCCCATCATCCTACCCCAACTTTTTCAGAAGTCCAGGTTGCCTCGTGGGGCACAAAACGGGATGCCGTGGGCTCCCTTTTCCAATAAGCCCTGAGGCTCCTTCAGAGACTCCCGGGACCCCACCTCAGGGTGGACACACTTGGGACCAACACTGGGGCCACATTTCAGACTTGCCAGGCCCTCAAATCCTCACTACGAACAGTGCAAGTTGTTCTCCTGCCCTGTCAGAGGGAACATTTGGTAAGCTTATTCCACAGAGTCACAACAAAAAGATGAGGCTTGCTGTGAAAGCTAATTATCAGCCAATTTCCTAAGGCTGAGCTCCCGCCGTCCCAGAACAAGCCACAGCACAGACCAGTGGGGGAGGTCTTGCGTCTCCCCATCTTGGCGTCCCTGTTCTCCCCCAACCCAGCGTCCCGAGCGTTAACAAAGGGCAGAGGCTGAGCCTCTAGAGCTCCTTTCCGTTCTGATTTCAAGTTCAAACTTTGCTTAAACTCTTTGGGGTCCTCACAATGACACTGTGCATCGAAGCTTGTAATTACATGGGCCTGGGGACATGGGGGTATATTCTTTGGATATACATAAAATTGCCAATAAAGTGATTCTGCCTGGCCAAAGTATCTTTACCCCAGTTTTTCAGAGAGTACTGTAATAAAAGTAGGATCAGGGTCAACACACAATGGCAGATGACACCACCAGGTTTTAATCTGTTCAGAAGGCTGAGTTTTCTGGAAGCCTAAATCCTCAAACCTTAGTGGCTGAAGCATACTGGAGAAATAGGAAACAGAAATTTCTAGAGTACCAGAAAGCAAATGTTTCAGGGCCATGCCCTCCCAGAAAAGGTTAGCCTATTTTTATATGTGGTGTCCTTGGCAATAAAAATAGTAATTTTCCAGAACCTGCCTGTTTCAACCCAAGCTCCCCCGGCCACCACCCGCCACGTGCCCCTCCAGTGACAATGGAGATGGGGAAGAAGGAGGGGCTGGGTGAGGCAGGGTATTTCCTTTCTTGTTAATCAGGGTCTGTCAAGGACTCCAAAACAAACCTAGTTAAACTCGTATCTAACCTGCAGCCCATGTCCCCATACACGTCCACTGAATGGCTTTTTGTTTTAATTAAAACCCTCATTGTTTATAAAGGCCTCTTAGGACCATAAAAATAAAATTATTTTCCTTCCATCCTGACTTCAACTACTTCCATTTGGCAAATACATATTCCCCTGTTCCCTGCTGCCCAGTCTTGAATTTAAAAGCTCTGAAGATAAATTTGCTTTTTTTAAATAACGCCTTTGACCTTCTCCATATTCTATGACCAAAAAACATGAGCCCTGTAGCTTCAGAATTTCCTGTGGGCTATTCCACAAGACTTTCCATCAAGCAAAGCTGTCTTATTAGATGATTCCCCGTGGCCACTCAAAAACCCATTTGCAAACCAACCAGAAGCGGCAGCAGCTGCGCTTCCCATACCTGTGGACAGGATCAGCTTGTACTCTTCCAGGGACAGGCCGCTGAAGCTTGTGTCTCTGGGGCGAGGGTACTGGTCACAGGGGCAGAGAGGAGGGAGGGGAGAGATTAGTTCCGCGGCACACGTGGAGAGAGGCGAGCTCTCAAGGGCAGTTCACAGGCCCTGGTGTCCAGAGGCCAGAGGGGGGGAGCAGCGCCACCTGGAGGCCACACTGGCGCCGTCCGCAGCGGAGGCGCCTGAGCCTCTGGAGACCCAGGCTGGGGCCGGGAGGGAGCCCCAGCCCTGAGGCCGCGTCTCTGACCAGCCCCCGGGCAGTGCCACGCTGCGGCTGACCATACTGTGGGTCCCGAGGATTTAGGAGAAATCCCCTTTCCATGCAGACTAGGCCTTTGGCCATGTGTATCTGTGGAGTTACTGAGCACATTTTTTGAGACTGGGGAAGAAACACACTTAGTGGAATTTGACAGCAGTCATGTCACGGCCAAGGAGAGGCCCAGCGTGTTCTGACAGGGCTTCCTGGTCACTTCAACTCTGTCACCAGCGTGTCAGGAGGGTGGGCCAATCTGTGCGAGACCCAACAGCTGTCGGACACCCAGAAGCACCCCTGGCATACAAAACGTGGCTTTTCTTCAAAATTACTAAGACCTTTCATTTAGGTGACCTAAAAGCCTCTACCAAGTGCCTTAGTTGGCTTGGTTGAAATTACTGGTTACATTCGAAACCAGCAAAACCACAATTCTATACAAAACATCACATAATCAGATTCCCTCACTCTTACTGGCTGTCTGCAGTCAGAGGTCTGGGGACAGAAAAGACTGGCCCACTTACCTTGTGTTTGTAGTAGTTTGATTGCAGCCGTGCCAAGCTCTCATACATCTGATCACAGGCCTCAGGCTCTGCAATCTGAAAAACAAAGGACCCCGAGAAAGTGAGCAAACCAGCCCTGCCCACACGCCGGCCTGCACCCTGCACCTTGAGGGGGACCCCCCAAGTCAGGCCTTCACAGGAAGCAGGCCTGCAGCTCTGCGCCAGCTTCTCCGACTACAGGTCCTGCTGTTAGAAATCTCCTTTTTGGAATAATGACTCCACCTTAGCAACCCCCAACCTGCAGAAAAACTCAAACGGCAAATCAACATTTGTGGGGCACCCGTGATGCGTGAATCAGCTAGCCACTAAGATGGGAGGCACTGCAGGAAAAATCCAACACTGGCAGGAGCGCTGAGGGCAGTGCAGGCCACAAGTCAGAGGAGGCGAGTTCCCGCGTGCTCAAGTGGCCAGCAGGTGATGGAAGTGGGACTAAACAGGGATCTGCAGGAGGCACAGGAGCTGGGGAGAGTGCAGCGGGCCTTCCTGATGGAGGGGGTGGCCGGCATGCACGGGGCAGAGGAGGCAGGGGCAACCTGTGCCTCAGACCAGGCAACCTGGCCGCGGGCCTGAGCGTGCATGGGCAAGAAAAAGATGAGCGCTCCTTGAGTTAAACCTTCAAAATACAGATTCTTATGAAAGGCAAAAAAAAAAAAAAAAATCATCTGAACTTTCATCTGTGGTGAGTAGGGAGCTGTTGAGTG